TTTCCCACGACACTATCTGTTGCAGACATCTCACGGATAATGCATCAGCCGGCGCGAAATATGTTTTCCACCTTTGTCTCCCTTTCTCTCACACTTGTCACGGCCTCTTTTCACGGAAACTGCCAGGCCATCCGCGGTATCCCGCGGTGTACAACTATGCAGTTATCCGCGCGCCTCGACGTTTCCAGATTGGTCTCAGCACCGTCTGGAGGAGAATTTTGGTCGAGCTACGAGGCTGTAACGAGGGTGACGACGGTCTTTTTCCTCTCTCAGGGGCTTGAAAGAGGAGTTTCCACGGGTCGAGGAGGGTGAAATTTCTTTCGAGTCCTGATTTTCCACGAGTCCTTTCCCCTCTGCAAAGGAGAGATGAAGTCCTTCGTGGCGACAGTTGGGAACGAGAGAACGCTATGAATTACCAAGTTTGCGTAGCTTTCATCTTCGGATTATCCGTAGAAATATTACCGTTAAAATTGTCCACTTGTGTACGTGTATATGTGTATGTAGATTGCTAATTCGTTGGTTATTACATATATATATCTTTTTTTCATTATTTTCATTAGTCGGTTTGTACGGGCGACAGCCAATTTCCAGAAAAGGAATAGAAAGTTATTCCTGAGAAACTCTGTTCGAGGGGGGAAGATTAAAACGAACTTGTTAAAAGTCTAGTTAAGTTTGTACGTGCCTAATTACTTATTCCTACATTAACAGTACGCTCTTCGTTTAAGATTCCCGGACGGTTCGTGAAATCATTTTAATTCGGTTGGCCTAGATACGAAAAAATTCTCTTTCATACGTGCGTTACACCATTGGCCGACACATCGAGACGTTCATTTATGCAGGAAAATGCGACACACGAACACCGTGGAATACAAACACAGCTTGTTGAAATTAGAAAGTTTATTTTTCATATTAGCTAAATCTATCGATTTTGAATCTTTCCTTAATTTTATCATCGGACCATTTGGAAATTAACCGAAACACGCATAATTCGACCGTTATCGCCCATCGAAAATTTCCACCCCTCGCATATCACGATAAACACAATGGCCAGCAGCTGTGTTAGCCAGATAACAACTTCGCCCTGCTCCAAGATGCCTCGACGGTTAAATGACGTGACGTTATAAAGCCGACAATTCCGTGAAAATGTCTGACGGACAATGGGTACGTACGTCTGATGAAGAGGACAGCTGGTGTGTGTACAAGCAATTATTTTCATCGGTGCAGACGCGTGAACGAGACCATGTTCGTCCCTCGTCATTATTTTTTGTCTCGCCAAATTTATTTCTTATCGACCCCTTACGAAAACACTGCAATTCGCCAAACTTTCACCTGAACGTTCGATACTTGGCCTAATTACAATTTTACAACGAAGAACATTGAATGGAAAATAACGAATCTTGCCATTTTTCTTTTCTTTTTCGGCGAACATTAATCGAGATATGGAAATACATCAAATTTGTTTGACATCAGATTGCCAAAGTGCAGAACGAGTCAAACAGGGAACGCGAAAATATAGAAAATGCAGAAAGCGTGAATTAAAGGTAAAAAATTAAGTGCAAAGCGGCACGAAAAATTATATGAAAAATATATACGTGCAGTATGTTCGCTAGAGTGGTTGATCTTTATATTCGAATATATTAATATCCGCGAAATAAGCAACACACGAACAATAAGAGCAGTTCCAGCAAAATTTTCTTCTTTTCGCGATAGAAATTTGCTGAATTTCAGCAACGCAGAGGAACGCCTTTTTAAATAATCCGCGATCCAGATAGGGTTTCGCTGAAACGTTTCACCCTTTAAACGTTTTCACGCAGCGGAAACAAGCAAAGCGACCACCTTTGCCAATGCTGTAACGTGCATTTTTATATCTCCAACGAGCATATTCGATATTTACGTTTAATATCACACATGTTTATGCAACGAGCCGCGTTACTCGCGACACATCGATACAATAACTAATTGATTTTCTAATTCGACCAGAGAGATATCCATGCTCCAAAAATTATACACAACGGTTTTGTATAATTGAACATTTTTGTGCCACGAAATCGTCGAATAGTTGACAATTTCTGAACAACCCGTCAGCATTTTTTTTTTTTTTTCAGATACGTATGTATATACCGTTGAATAAACGTATTTTAATATCACAGGATACGTCCGCACAAATATCCCGTTTTACACCCGTTGAAACCGTATTAATAACCTGTTACGTTATTCCCCGCGTTTCACGCTGAAATGTCTGACGTGAGGAACAGCCTTTTTTGTAACGTTATTGTCGGCGTTGATAATTCAAGCCAACAAGTGAGCATAATTTTCTGTATCGGTACAAAAATGGAAAATAAACCCTCCAGCAAAAAAAGAATCAAAAACGTACGCATATTGGAGAGTATTTCGATTAAAACGCTGCCGCTCTGAATCTTGTTAAGTAACGTTTGCACGGGAAGAAACACCAACAGAATGTTTAATACTTTCGAAGGGGACGATATTTTCGGTGCGTAAAAAATTCCCGACAGGCGAAATAGCAAGAAAATCGCCGCATATTTTATGCCGAGTTTTACATTTTTCAAAATTTTTCAAACGACCGGTTCGAAAAACTGATCACCGTCGTTCCCGTGCGATTCGCCGAGGAATTAAATATCGCAACGATCGAGGGGCGAGCCTGTATTTTTGTCGCGTGCTCGAAAGAGAGCCTGGGCAAAAATTTGAAATGTCACACGAGAGAACACCGCTGGAAAATTCATTCTCCGCGTGAGAAATATTTCAGCGAAAAACGGTGGATCGTTAAATTTTAACAATTGCGCTTTACTCTTCTCGTTCTATTAGCCACTATCGCTCGCTACACAAACAGAGAGGAGGATGAAGAGTGTGTCTGGTGCAGCCACCGAAACACTGTTGGTCCCGGTAAACAATCGGTGTCTCGGTCCACTTTGCTTGCGGACTTTAACCAGTTACCAGAGTTCGCCTGGCGTCGTTTTCTTCGACCAGCAGAGAGATCGTGAAACCAGATGACGCGATACGAGACGTCTCGGTTTCTCTCAACAGACAAAACCTGCGGAATTCCTGACTTCCGCCCGTGTACAATGCTCTTAAGAGCAACGAACAACGTGTTTTATCTACGTTTGGCGAATGCAAAACAGCCGGGGAGATGAATATTTATGAACTTCTAAATTGTTTTTAATACTTGGTGTATATGTTAACTGAAAAATTCTCTTTCGCCTGTGTAATTGCAGAGATTTGATATTCGAAAGTTCTTAAAAGGATAATACAGTTTCTGCCGAAGAACGGTGATTAAATTTAAGGGAGAAAAAAGAAACGAACAATGAACGGGGGGAAGCAGTTGAAAAGGAAGTGAAATAAATTTTCCAACGATAAAGTATTATTCGACTCTGTATTAATTTGAACGCTCGCTTATCCCTCATTTGAAATTAGTTCGCTCCATTAACCGTAAATCTGCCTCTGTGATAAAATATTCCATCAGCGGCATTGATCAAAGCTCTTAACGTGACACGAACAGGAAATACAAAACCTCGAATCTATAACCTTTTCTTTCCAAAAGAAAGAGCGACACAGATTGGAAAATTACTCACTTCGCGCGATAATATTCCTCTCACGGTACATTTATTGCATACAATCGAAACATCAAACAAAATTCTTCAAAAATTACGAAAAAATTCTTTCCCACTTCTAATGTAAAACATTCTTCCCCATTTCTAATATAAACAATTCTATTCTCTGTTCTCAACTGATACAATATTTTCCCCTCAATTTTCCCAAGCAACGAGCGATCATTCACGAGAACAAAAAGTCTCGTCTCCGCCCTAAGACACGCCAGTTTAATCAGCCTAAACGCTAAACAATCGCACGCTAGGGATGGATTAGCGAGCGATTATCGCTGTTTCATCAGTGGGCCGGGCGTATCTCGCCGGAGCTTGAGAGGCCCTCGCGATTTCATGGTCACGTACGTCGCGTAAAACACGGTTTCAGCACGTCGCCAGGCTAGAAGCAGCTCTCTCTCTCTCTCTGTGAGAACGCGACGAGGAGCCCCCGGTTTAGATCGAGTTTAGCATTTGTTTGGCGCTGTTCTTAAGGCGATCCCCCGGCCGGCGACAGGATCAAGCGGTAGCCCTTCGAATGAAACGCGACTTCTCCGTCTAACGGGGAAGATTTATGCGCGACCCGCGACAAACTTTACCGTACCGAGATGCGATCTGCAGTCTTGGGCCGTTTGCCAAGTCCCCATGCGACATTAGACATTTCGGGAACATACCGAGAAGAACACCATTTTTCATCCGCTTTACCGACACATTCGACACTCTCTACTCCAATTTTCAGACAGAATCTCTCTGTGCAGCCTCCTCTTCTCTGGCCACCATTTCTCGTGTGTATTAGGTTCGCGCATAGGAAACTTGAAGGAAAATATTTTTTTCCTTTTCAACCCTCTAAGTCGGAGAGGGACTCCAGAGTCTTGTACCAGAAATCCATGGTTTTCACATTTTCATGGGTTCCAAAGGAATAAAGTGGACTACTTTGACCCTCGAAAAATTCTACAAATTTAACGCATCCCTGAACTTAAAAATTCGTTGGAACGTATGAGACTCTGGAGTCCCATTTGAGCTTAAAGGGTTGATGAAAATAACTGACAAATTTTATGCTTCTCTGTGATATTTCTCGAGTCGTTTGGTGAATATTAGATTTGACCAATTATAGTACAACTTCAGTTTCTCATTTTCGAAATTCTTCAAACGATATAAAAATACATTATCATTAGTAAAATTTTGACGGTCCTTTCGAAGACTCGCAATTTAACACACACGAACCTAATACCTCCTGCGCTACCTGGTTCGATGATATCGAATGTTAACGATACAGACAAAGCTCAAAAAACCCACTTTTGTAAATTTACATAGGAATAGCTGATCCCCTGACTCGATTTATTTCGACGTGAAAATTTGATAGTAACGAGAGTATTGATAACAGGTAAGAAGAATATAGTAACTCACCAATCGTTGCCAGTTTTAGTGACGTTCTGCCGCTTGCGTCCAGTTTGATGGGGTTTCGGTTCGGCCACCATGTTGACATCTACGCAAAAATTACAAACATATGTTAAATATAATCTCGAAGCTTCTAATCGCGTTAAATCGTCGAATACGAAAATCAGAATATAAATTTTCCCGCAGATAGAAACTTCGAAAAAGACAGAATCAGAGAGAAATATTAAAAAAAGGAACTTCAATTACAAATTTTCATCAATTTCGTTCCCTTTCATACAAGCTTTAAATCCACTATAGTAACAGTAGCATTGATTCACGTAAACCGCTAAATACCGCGTGTAGCATGATCGTTGGCCGTAAAAAGGGAAGCAATTATCGTGCGTGTAACGCCGGAAATGCGATAGAAATCTGTCTCCTGGCTTAATAGCCGGCGCACATTAATAAAGCACAGTGGTGCAAGGGGGCTTAACGTGTCCGCAAACAGTTATTAATTTCATCCCTTTGCGGCGCGTTTCTGTATCGCGCTAGAGACCACTAAGGTGGATAATGGATACGCGTTCGAGTGATCAAAAACAGTTGAGCCGTTGTGTCAGCGAAATATCCATTCTTCGTGTCTTTCTGCCGCGGAGAAGGAAGAAAAAAAGAGGAAGGGAAGAAAGAGCGCATTCTCCGAGTCGCTTTCAATGGGCTTCGAGGATTTTCATTCACGGCCACGTTTCCACCGCGTTGAATATCGAACAAGGAAGCAACTTACGGGCATTATCTTTCGTATAAATCGATCTGTACCATCGAACAAACCTAGAATCCATCCTGATCCGTCTTAAGGTTCGTGTAGTGTATACTAGTTTGATTAAAACATTTATGAAGCGTACAAGTTTGCTAAATATTCGATATTTATCGTTTCATCCCCTCAGAAACTACTTTATTTCTTATTAGAATTTTCTGAACTGAAGGAATTTTACGGTTAGCGATTTTCAGAGAGCACTTGTTAAGGCTAGTGCGACCTTCGGGTCTTTTTTGACCCATCGCCTTAATTCTTTAATAACTTTTGCTCGAGATTGTGTTCCTTTAAAATTAACGTAACTTTGGGTATTTTCTGACCCAAAATCGAACGAAAGAACGCATCAGGATTAAAAAGCTCAGAGAATTTTTCGAACAAGAATAACGATTTTGACCCACAGCTTTCTTATTTCAGTAATTTTTGCTGTTGCTAAATTTGTGCTCCCTTAACATAACTTTGGGTCTTTTCTGACCCAAAAACCTTAAGTATATACGAACGAAAGAACGCACCGGGGTTAAAAAGCTCAGAGAATTTTTCTAACGAAAACACTAAACGGTCCTCGGGTCTTTCTTGACCCATCGCTTTCTTCTTTTTTTAATAACTTTTGCTCTTGTCAAATTTGTGCTCCCTTAACGACAACATAACTTAACGTAACTTTGGGTCATTTTTGACCCAAAGACCACAAGTATACAGTCGAAGGGAAGAACACACAAAAGTTAAAAACCACAGATAATTTTCCTAACGAAAACACTGAACTCTTTAAAACAATTTGCAAACAATCACAGTTCGACGACAGCAGGCAATAAAAGACGATAACAGTAGATCGTTATCTCGAGCCTGAAAGGGTTAAGAGATGTTTTTTCCTCCTTGTTTCATGAAGAATCTTTACAGAGAAGGCGTAAACATCGGCCATATGGTCTCCAACCGGTTCTCTATTATCGAAAATGATGATTCTCTGCTGACAGCGAGTACAAACATAATCTTAGACGGGGTACCAAGCCAGCTGACTCCAGTGGGTGTGTAGCTAGTACGAAACACGACACAAGACCCATCCTTTGTGTAACCTAACCAAACACATCGTACAGACCAAGTCACGAGGGTGTGCACACAAACCCACCACCACTAAAAGTCAGCTCGATTATGACGGCTACTTGTACATCTGACAAGGAAATTGTTTGCACGCTCGTTGCTCCAGCTGATCTGCTCAGTTTTATGAGACTCCCTGGACAATTACCAGTCTCGAACACATAAAAGGTCCTTGAGAAACGTTTATGCGAAGCACGATATTACGATGAAAATTGTTTTCATTAAAGGTACACATAAAACATAAAAGGTCCTTGAGAAACGTTTATGCGAAGCACGATATTACGATGAAAATTGTTTTCATTTCGACAATGCGAGTATACGTGTTTGCAGGAAAACATTTTGACAAAACAGAGAAAAATATTAAAAAGTTTTAGTAAGTAGACATTTTTCAGTAAGGTTCGTATATCTGTGTTTACAGAAATGATTTGCCTCGTTGTTTCTGACGAGAATACGCGTCTGTCTATACTCGCGTATGTCCTTACGACCGTTTAAGGTTATAAGGATATTAGGGGTATGATAATGAAGTTTAAACGTGAATGAAATAATTCGTAGTAGACTATTTTAATGAAGCAGTTGAATGATGGATTAGTGGTGTGGATGATGTGCGTTGAACTAGAGATTAGGATGTTTCTCTTTGATGTCTGGTGGTGAACTGACTCTCTCACGAATTTCCGAGTCGAGGGAAATTCGTGAGCCGGTCTTGTCACCTGATTGATAAGTATTTTTTGCCAATCAGGTGATAGATCCACCGACACCCACCTATTCCGGGCAGGAGAGGTGGTGTCAGGGGAGGTGGAAGACGTTATGTGGGAAATTTGTGGAATTTCCGCCAGGCTTGGATCCTACGGCCTGACCTGGTCGACGTTCACTGGGCCCGGTCTCGATGACTCTTTGGAAATTCACGTTTATGGCACATGCAATTAGTCGTTGAGGACGAAGAGACTCGAAGAAATACAATTACAGGATAAAAATAAATCGACTCTCAAAAACGACTCTACTGGCTTGCGTGTCATAAACGTGCTTGCAATTTGCACTTCGGATGTTGTCCCTTGTACAAATTGCTAGCCACCCGTGCTATTCAATACGGTCAAAATCATGACAAAGGGAAGGCCAAGATCCCGTGGAACGCTCGTTGTAGGATGTATTATAAAAATAAATGATTGCGATTAAAATTTTTGCTTAATTTTCTGTTTGTACAGCCACGGAATAGAAACTCGGTGCTCTATCAATGGAATATTAATGTTTGAATAATTTCTGTTTTCTCTCTGGACGTAAACTAATCTCTGCGGTAGCATGTATTTATTTATGCCCGTTGTTTACCGACTGCACACAATGTCCAAACATTGGAAATGCAATACACAAATGTGTATTAAATCAGAATATTTGTTAGCAGTTAATGCTGGGTTAATGCAAATGAACACGTTAATAACGTCTCACGTAAAATAACGCGATAAACGAGTGTATCAACATGCTGTGTAAAGATACGTGGACTACAATGGTCAAACAAGATTGAACTCTGTTATCTGCGCACGGAAGAATATCGTCTGTGATTCGAATAAAATTCGAAATCGAACCGTTTTGTAATTCATATCCCTTCCATAACGAGAACTCTGTAAATTGAACATTTCAAAATTACATTTCTAGAAATTCAAATTAAATTTTACACAATTCGACGTTGCTCCATTGGACAATTATTTAGTTTTTATTTTTTACAGTCTTCTTACTATCAGTGGTCTCTCGTATACAAAATTATCGTTCTAAAAGTTATCAAAAATTTTATTTTGCTCCATCTGGCAATTATTTAATTTTAACTTAATCTCAAAATTTTACAATCTTCTTACCATCAGTGGTCAATCGATATATTCAAAATTGTTCTAAAAATTTTGCAAAATTCGATTTTGTTCCATCTGACAATTATTTAACTTTAACTTAATCCCAAAATGTTTACAATCTTCTGCTATGTTCTGTACCTTTACTTTTTTCGAAAAAGAATACGAATAAAAATCACAAGCTTCGGTTAATTCCGCTTCGATCTCTTCCGCCAAGATTCTCATAACGAAAAACCACTATATTTTCCATATGTTTGCTCGAAAAGAAATTCGAATAAAAATCCTAAGTTTCAATTCCGCTTGGATCTCTTCCTCAGCGAAGCTCGCGTTACGAAAAACCTGTCCAGGTGTGTCGAGCTTTAAGAAATCAAAACTGGCTAACGCTTAACTGCGTTAGAACAGTGAGACAGCCCCGATAAGAATTATCCGAGCGACCCCGGCCGCTACCTAAAACAGACCGGCGTCGGAGAACGTAGAAAGGCGCTTAACTTCCGCGAATGTTTTACCAAACGAGCTGCCATAATCCCGGTTAAATATCCAGCTGTATCCTATTCCCTCCGCCTCTGTCCTATCCCGAATGCCAGATTTCGCTTCGAGTTGGCTTTTCCGACCGTGCAATCTGTGATATGCATAAAAATGCCATTCAGCCGCGAGGTTCCAACTCTCGCCGTATGAATGGCCGTTTTCATCGAATGAAATTATTTCGACTAGCCCTCTTCACTATCTCCCCGGGATTCTCGCGGAATTTAAATGCGACGAAAATACGAAGCCGCTGGACATTTGCAAAGTCAGAGAAGGAATATTTTATGAGGAAATCGGCTGTTTCCGTGCTGATACTAATTTTCTGTTTATAGTAAAACCTTCCCGTCATTCATAGCGCCGCGCGATGATAGAGAAGCCCGCTGACAGCGGTTTCGAGAATTTTCATTCCAAA